TCATATCTATTATGAGCCCCATTACAAATCTATGTGCCACACTTTGCATGCATTAGCTCATATAATCCTCGAAAAACCTAACTGTAAGTTCTGTCATCTCCATTTTACAGATGAGGATACTGAGAGTTAAATTCCTACTCTTAAGCCAGGTTCACACAAGTGGTAAAGGGCGGGTTAGAACACAAGCGGTTTGACTCTGGAGCCACTACCCAATACTACCTCCTCAGACTTATTTTCCTAGGCCATGCTAGCTGGTAAGAGCCTAAATAAACCCAGGCACTCAAGTTCCAAAGTCCCAGCATTTAACCATCATATTGACTGGTTATGTGTAGCTAAACTGTTAATCATAACCTGCATGTTTATTTTCATCTCTGCTAGAAATGAAAGTAAAGTGGTAGGTTACATATTTATCACATAATTTAGGCTTGCTTAAAAATTCTGGGGATTTTCTTTATTTAATTAAAAACAAGGATCTGATCAGGAAAAACATTTTTTATATGCTGAAGGCCCAGCTTGGACCCAAGACTGCTCTTAAGGCTTCCTTGGACAAACACATGCACACACACACACACACACACACGCACACACACGCACGCACACACACCCAAAAGTTTTAATTATACTCATTAGGGCCCCAGCCTTAGGACACAGGGACAAGAAAATGACAAGAGTGTGCAGACAATAGTAACTTCTGGTTATACTCGTAACAAGTCAATGAGGGTTTGGCTCTGAACAGGGAAGACGAAGTGTCCAGGGATTCACTTCTAACTTCAGCCACCACCTTTCAGGGTGAGCTAAAGCCCCTCAAGTGCCATCTTTAAAATGGGAACACAGTGTCTATACCTCTGATCCAGACCGTTCTTATAAAACTGGTTTCTGAAAGGACTGGGTAGTTTCCTCTTTGCAAGCCTTATGACTGGCATCATGCACAAACAGGCCTTCAATAATACTTCTGAATGTAGACATCTTCAAGGAACTCTGAGGCCCAGGGGAACCGAAGTTTTTCTCCATGGAAAGGCAGACTGCTAGCCTCTTCCTCTTCCCTTCTACATTCCTCCCTCTTCCTAGAATGAAGTTGGAGGGGAAACCTGAACCCCCAAATCCAGTCTGCCTTCTTTCTCTTTGCCTGACCCAGGCCAAAATAACCTCCCAGGTACTGTTCTAGATCATTGGAAAAGCACTTTCTCTGGTCGGGGAATTTCTGGCATTGGGGAGGGGGGCAGTTTAACCGCAGGAGTGAGCTTTCTGAAAGGTACTGGAGGGGGCGCATTCTCCCGCCAGCAGACGGAGAGGAGACCCGCACCAGCGTGGTCTCTCCCAGCCACCCTCCCTCGGGATTAGCTGCCCTGGCACTGCTCAGGCGTACCCAGCCCGTGCGATCCCGGCTCGCGCAGTTCCATTGCCCCTCCGGAGCGCGGCCGCAGCCCCAAGCCCGCAGCCAGCAGCCAGCAGAGCCGCGCTGTCCCGGGCGTCCCCGCGCTCCGCGTCCGAGGACCTGGGACCTCGAACCCGGGGCGGGCAGGAAAGCCA